ACTTTTTTCATTTTTGGAATACTCTTATGTGGAATCCGCAGCTATTTTTCCCGAAATTTGGGTAGACTTAGATTTCTTAGAAATATGACATATTGGTATCGGCAACTCTGCGAATGGGAGAAACAAATCGCATTTGTTGAGCGCATCCGTCTAAGCGGTAGGCGCCAGCGCCCGTTCTGCCATCTCTCTCTTTTATCACCCTTCTACTTTACCCCGTTGTCCGTCACACTCCGACGCTGCCACATAGGATCCTACAATCGAGTGTCTTTCACACACCTACATACTTTTGTATATTTCCATCTCTCTTCCTCATCATAATGTATAATAATGTTTTTCCCAAGGTGTATATATCATACAGTATATACACAATCCGGGATTTTTAGTGAAAATTTCATGAACTGATAAGTCGACAATTAAGGTACACACAACATGCACGAGTTGCATGTAGGACTGAAAATGTGAGAACCATTGTACCCTTTGAGCTGCCAGAGTTCTTGAAAGGCCAACTTTATTTAGACTAGAATTTTTCCGATTGTAATCTTAAGTATAAAGTATACCTAAAAAAGTTGGGGTAGCTGGGATATGGAACTCCATTTCTATTTCCAGGATCACCTTACACCTTGATAGCAAAAGAGCACATCGCGGATTTCAAAAGGTGATATCCGGCAGCATCATTTTTCCATCTCACCCAGCAATAAAGCGTATCCAAATATGAATTGTGGAGGGCAATAACAGGTGTTTTCTATCACATATCGAGCATACGCGAGATACTTTTGTATTCATATTGAGTTTTTACGATGCCATAAACGTTTCCGGAACTCGTTGGGATATTTGAGGATCGACTTTGTTGCGCGAGGGTGAATACTTATTATTTGCAGGACGTTGCGCATTTTTCATATGGATGATCGGAAAGACGATATGTGACGTGACCCAGAAGCCTTTTGAAGCTTTATCCGATATATTAAAATCTGATGTCTGATTCTCATTGATATGGCTTCCCAGACACCGTGGAGCTTCGTAGATTCCAGACTATCTTGGGTATTGCAACCGCAGAGCGGTGAATTTAAAAAGTGCATTTTAGATTTGGGCTAATTAGTTTTGAATAAATAAAAACATTTTGCTTTTTGGCGTGTTTTCGAACCTGCTGCCATTTTTGAATATGTAGGGTGGATTTTACCAGTATTGTCAAATCAACAGTCCGTTATTCTCCACCTATAGGGTAACGGTAACAGTCCTTCAAATACAGCGAATGAGCTTCAAGTTCCAATCAACAAATTAGCAACCAATAGCTATGAAATGTTGAAAACAAAATACTATCAAAGTATGAGATGACAGCTTGTCATTGAAACATGACCAGCTTATAAAGAAACCGAAATACGTCTGTTTTCAAAATAAATATTCAATTAAAATGAGAGGTGAGTTGATGAGTTCAGGGGTAAAACAGAAAAATATTCACAGTCTTATAAGCAAGAATCAAAAAAGGAGTTTCCGGAATGGTAGCAAAGTACTTTGGAAGAGCGACCAGTATGCACATTGTAGAAGTTGTAATGCCCTCAAAAAACATGTTGTGTGCGCGCCCAATACAATAACAGACGTTTTTCATGACTCAAAGGTCCTTGATCTACCACTGATCTTGGGACGGCATTTACCTTATGCCGAATTCAACGCCACTATTTACCGAATTCGTTTTTTTTGCCGGTTCGGCAACACTGCAGATGTGCAGATCACTTTAAAAGCAATTGGTATCCCAGACGTGCTATAATAATAGAAATAAGAAGAAAATATAACAATGTTTGGAGATATATTTTCATAAAAAGGTATTTTTGATTCTGACTTGTAATATCTAGACGATTAATAATAGGTGGATGCGGATACTCTTACAAATATCGATGTTTTACCCAGAATTGCAGAATGTGCAGTTTGTTTACATGTGGATTTCTAGATCCTAAATTGGCAAAAATTGTTTTTGATGTAACAGAAGATGATGAATCAGTTGGAATACGTTTTATATCCTTTTTTTTTGCAAAATAACAAAAATCGGTATATTTCAACAAGGTACGTATTATGTACAATACCCTGAACGTGATATACAGACAAAATTGGATTGCCATGCATGAACAGTCGTCAAAAACAGTGAAAACATCCTACTAAACCGTCTTTTGTGAAATGATAAAAATTTTAAATTCTATGAAAGTTAATTAATTTTAAAGCACAAAGACATAACATTACATCTATAATGTACCCTTATTCATAAGGCAAGGGACCGTTAAATATTAATGTTGGTGAAATTGGCCCGTAGTTTATGATCCTTTATCAGAGTATTATCAGCGCAACACTTCCTTTATTTTCAATAATAAAACTCGGTGAGATTCAAAACATTTATAAAAATGGAGAAATGGAAGTGTCGCGTTACTGCGCTCCGTTCGTTGTTCCTGAGACCACGCCTAGACCATGCTGATGAGTTGCCAAAAAGGACAAAATAGTAACTCAAACAGTCAGATCCTCTAAGAAAAAGGTTTGTTACGAATATGTTCGACAGAGAAATTAAATGGATCAGGTTCAAACAGGTCCATACAATGAGTTCATAACATCCTTTCCCTGCCCTACCTATAGTCGCGCGTTGCCCCTCCCCAGTATCGGGAAGCATGATGCTACACAGGACACACACACGAACACAGGGACGCCTGTCGAAAACATTTTTCTATTGTTCTGAGTTTTGAAGGTAAACGTACGGGGCAATCTGTGGTGTGTGAAATATGTCTAATAGGTGCCTAAAATTATCGGGGCTGAAAGTGTACCCTGTCCCACCGTCGTACAACCCCTAATTCCCCAATTTTCGACACCGAGAATATTTCAAAAATAAACAGGATCTTCTAAAACGCAAAAAAAGAAGTATGAGCTATTTTTGTTTTTTTCCTCTTTGTCCTTTTTATCCGCCGCCACTGGACCGATTTTCAAAAACTAAAAGCTCTTTCGACCTCGGCATAGTAGTACCCTGGTATAAAAACTCTTTTAAATTCAACCGGTACCGGATAAACAGACAGACAGAAAGTCAGACGACCGACAAAAGTTGGCGCTTGTCCTCGAACTACCCTGTATACCGCATACTAAAAGCGCACTTCTTCTAAAGCGATAAATTATCGTCTTTGTGAATGAGCGGTCTACTAAAGGCCAAAATATCTCCGACAAAAAGAAATCAAACCGACAATAGTGTGTAGTAGAAGTGGGTCGAAGACGTTACGACAGAAAACGACTAGTTCGACTTCCGAACAGAAGGGACATAGTTAGAAATTTAAAACTTCACAAACTTCTGGCTCTTCTTTCCATAAACGTCAAGCGCAGTAACGGGAAATGTCGCTGAAATATCTGAGTTCCCTCCAAGGATCGCTGATGTATGGTTTTTACTGTCGAGACGCTCGACAAAGTACTCACATAACTATTTCGTTGGGAAAGTGTTTATGGTTTTCAGTTTGGAACGAACGCGAGTGGATTGTCCTATTGTTTACGTTCGATATTCTCAGTTCACCTAAAATCCAGTTTCTTTTTTTTATATTACTGAATACCCCTTAAGAATATCAAATATTCGAGTTGGACAAGGTGAATAAAATTAGAGAGTGATGAGAGAAGACTTCAAAAATATGTCGTCCACAAAACAGCTACTGGCGTCTAAATATGGCTATTTTTATTTATTCCGAAATAAACGCGTTGTTGCAAGATTATCTATCTTTTTGGGTGAATTGATTGACCGTGACGTGTAGTGAATGCATTTTTTTTTTCAAATTGAATTTTGTTTGGACATTCACTCATGATGAGGATATTTATCATCCACTTGCAACCTACTCAATATATTTTTCATTCAATAAAGTTATAAATTACACCTTTTGCCTGAGAACTGCACGACTTAAGGATCACCCACACCGACGCGGTAAGGCGATAGCGATATTCGCAACGCTGTCCATGCGGTGCTCAGTTTTCAGAGCGGTAAATAATACCGATCACACCAGCGCGGTTTATCGCCTTGACAGCGTTTCATTTCAGAAACGCGGCTGACGCGGTTCGTATCGCATATCGCCACATTTTTCACGATGTCCAAAACGGAGAAATTAATTGAGCAAGTTAAAAGGCACCCAATACTGCAGGATTTAAATCTCGAAGACTATAACATTTGCAGGAAAAAGGATAGAGTGTGGGATCTCATTAATCTTAAGATTTCATCAAAACAATCGGAAGTCATTCGAAAGTATACGTAAAAACGTTGTGGATCTCTAGGTAATTCGATCATTAAAGTATGATGTTCTCGATATATCTTTCTCAGTTTATTGACATCATGTGTTCATTTTTTCTTTTTCCCTAAATACAATTATTAATTATTATTAACTAATGACTATCATCAAAATACTTCTTTCACGCCTTTTATCTTCTGCTAAGGCCAATAATGATAATAGTTTTTCTTCATCACAAGACATAGACTAAGAAAATAAAAAACGTTTGAGAATATCGCGTGGATAAGAAAACTGCCATACGGCGGTGGTGTGAACGTGCAGCTATCGCACTAAACGCAATTTTTGGAAGAAGATTATGCAAAAGGAATCGGATGAGAGTATGTTTTCACTTAATTCGCTAACTAGCAAATCAATCTCGGCAAAACTTATTTCACATACGCACATATAATACGTAGGAGACGTCTTCTTTTCGTTATTGTCCATCAGAGTGGTCAGTAGGATCTTTGCTCTTGGTGAAAGCATCGTAGGTAAGATACCAGTCAAAGGCAGAGTAGGAAGAATAGGAAGTGTGACAGTTAGAGGGATTTCTTGACATTGTTAGCTAGTATTCAGGAATTTTAAATTGATCCAAAAATTTATCTTGGAATTTAGGAATTTGTGTTTGTGGAAAAATTGCATTTTTGGTTGGATCCTAAAGCGCACGATTTAATTTTGTTTACAATGCGAAGCGTGGTCTTGTGTTCTTGCGACAGACAAAAATCATTCACGCTGCGCTAGATCATAGCAGCCAGCTGCAACGGAACTAGTTTCGGTAGAAGGCAAACTTCAATTGAGAAACCATACGTTCAGGCTTGTAGGAGGACGTTTCGATAATTTCTAGATTTTCATAAGTCTAGCTTTTTGATTAACTTGTTTGTAATACCTGATTTAGTAGACAGGTTGCTAACTGGTTATATTTTTTACAGGTAAGCTTCCCAGCTTTCACCAGATGATTCGAACAATGATCATGTAAGTGTTAAAATGAACTGCTTATACTCCGGGATATAATTCCTCAAATAATTTTGTTTACATGATCATATTATTTCCGTAATTTGAACAAACGAGTCCGGCTCTGGATTTTTCACCCGGTCTACTAGAGTTACGTTACTGTGCAAAAGGCTTTAGGCGAAGCATTGGAGAATATCTAATATCGATTTTTGGCGATTTTCCGGGAAAAAATGCATGATTTTGTTAGTTTATCTGAAAAAATCGCAATAAATACCTAATGTACAGTCGATTTTGAGGTTTTCGAAATTTTCATTACTGACCCAGAAATTCATAGAAAAATTTTAAAATTTTTATTTTATCGAACCTATACGTTCTACAAATCTGCAAGGATCACGATCATGTAGGATATAACAATGTAGCGGAGGTATTTTTTCAAAATATTTTGAGTAAGACTTGCCCGTATAAAATTATTTTCAAATAAACACGCTTTTAATGTTGGGGGTCCCAAGAGACCACCTAGCAATCTGAAAATTTTGGTAGGACGATTTGCTCCAATGTACATTAATTTGTATTGCTCCAGATTAGTATAACTTTTAGGGGCAATTTTATTCCGTAGTTTCGCCTAAAGCGTATCATGAAAATAGGTAGTGCCTAGGATATGTGATATTGAAGATTGGGCGTGTTTAGATAAAAATTAAATCTTTTCTTTTGCAAATATAAAAATACTACCTATTATTTCACCATGTTCGTTTAAGCTTGGAACACCCTGTATATACTTTTGACGCTGTGGTCGCATGGCGCATTTTTAGCGTCGCATTTGTGTTCCACAATATGTTGCAGGCCATATATTTTTTATCCATGTTGCAGCGAAAACGCACCACAACTTCCATTTTCATATGCTGATCATAAAGTCAAATATGTTCCTAGACGTGCAGGTGAACCTTATCTACAAAGTAAACCCAGAAGTAACTTACATTATGCAAATGAATGAAAATAAAACTTTCTCGTAGCAAATTAAGGGAGATTGCTTTGTGGTTCGACAAAGAGAGACACAAGTTTTCATTTAGCGCTGCGTCGTTAATAAACCCTGTTGAAAGCCCATTCCGTTGCCTTATAGCCCATACAGATGTGTACAGCGTAGGTACATCTGGAGTCTGGAGTTGCCGTATTATGAATTACTATGCAATTTCCGTTCGGCATTGAAACGCAACGGGAGTTCAAATTGCCCTAATTACTATTCTCCCGAAACCACTGGCGTAACACGTGTAAGTCTGTGGTGGATGGTGCAAGGTGGATAGTCTCCTCCCCATCATATCCCACGCATGTTCGATGGGATTTAAATCTGGTGAACGAGGTGGCCACAGCAAAACATTAACGCTTGCTTCTTGAAGAAAGTCCACAGTACGAGGAACGTGTGGACGACCCTCTAGATATATCAGTAACGTGGTTTGTAGGACATCATCAACATAACGCGCAGTAGTCGTATTGCCTTGAACAAAGAGAAGGGGTCATCGGCTACCATAGGCAATAGCTCCCCAAACCATTACTTCAACAGTCCTGTGTACATGCCTCTCGACAGCAAATCCAATACCACGCCGTTCTTCACGGCAGCGACTTACCCTTCTACGACTATGGTGCGTACCTAGACAGAATCGCGATTCGTCGCTGAACATGACATTATGTCATTCTGCCTCCCAATGTTGTCATTTTCTGTTCCAGTTCAAATGTTGATGACAGTTGTCCGCAGTCAGAGGAAGCACTGACCGTGGACGGTATGAGAAAAGTCTAAAGGTTCGAATGCAGCGATAGAGTGTAGGTATAGCAACAGGTCTACCTTCTTCTCCAAACCATTGGTCAACGATCCTACGCGTAGTAGCACAAAGGTCTCGTAGAGCTAGTGCCCCTATCTTGACGCTCTGTCATGCGCGTCGGTGGACCAGTTGACCTTCTTCGTGTTCTTCTACCTATTGTTATCCACACACGACATACAATACAATAATTCTACGCCTGTCAAAGCCGCTAACATGGTGATAATTTGGACGTCTTCGACCTCAAGGCATTTTGTTATGCTCAACGCTAGTAAATAAAAGGGCAATAACTAAACATATCTGTACTACTCATCTCTCAAAAATTGATTTCTTCACAAAAACTGAGAGATAACATTTTAACAAAGGTGAAGCAAAACAGAGATAAAACGTTGTCATTGTTGCTACAGCATGCTATTTTCTAATGTCAATATTATTATCAAGAATACTGCTTTGTACGTTTAGGACTTTAAGACGAATATTTTCTAAAGTAGGTACGGTTTCTGTTGAATGTGCTTCGGATCATCGTGTACAGCAAAAACATAAATACGAGTATATACAGGGTGGCGCATCGAAAACGAAACAGACGCATTTACTCACAGCTGTTTTTTTTTTGAAAACACCACCCCCACAATCTTAAATGGAAAGGGGGGTCGAGTGATACATTATTTTAAAAGTCTTTCAATTCCCTTTATAATGATATAAAATTAATGTACTTCAGTTCAGTAGTTTTGAAGATTTATTGATTTAAAGCTTAAAAATAATACATTATCATTAGTAGAGATCAATACATTTCTCAGCAAAGTAATTTAAAAATAAAGAATGAACTGACCCGTTAGGCAAGTAAATGTTGAAAATGGCCACCACCATGACTCTCCATGCAATAATAAAGATTTTGCTCAAAACGTTGCCGCACATTTTGCAATATTCAAGGAGTAATTTGAAGGCACTCTTTCACAATTCTTGGTCGCAGGTCTTCTAATGATGTTGGCTGAGTAGCATTGATTTTGACTTTTAAATGACCCCACATAAATAAGTCCAAAGGTGATAAATCTGGCGATCTTGGGGGCCATTCAATGGCACCTCTTCTACCAATCCATCGATCTGGAAACGTCTGATCTAAATATTGTCGAACACGAAATGCGTAATGTGGTGGGGCACCATCCTGTTGGAACATCAACCTATTGGCAATGTACCGCCGATCATTCTGATTTTCAATTATGGCTGTTAATACAGGATCTACGGCGTCTTCCAGTAATTCCAAATACATTTCACCGGTCAAATTTCCAGGTAAGAAAAAAGGACCAACTAAATGATCGCCAAAAATACCAGCCCAAACATTTAATTTTTGTGGCTGCTGTGTATGATAAATTCTGGGATTTGAATCGGACCAATATCGGCAGTTATGACGATTTACTACGCCATTTAAGAAAAAGGAACATTCGTCGCAAAAGCAAGTGTTGAACAGAAAATGTTCATCGTTTATAATTTGTTCACTCATATCGTCACAAAATTTTAATCGCCGATCAAAATCGTCTTCGTTAAGTTCTTGTACCAGGTGAATTTTATACGGATGAAAACTATGGGCCTTTAGAATCCGTTGGACAGTATGTCGTCTAATACCACACACAGTCTCCAATTTGCGGGTACTTAACGTAGGATCTACATAAACTTGCCCTAAAACCCCACTTCTATTGTTTCGTTCCTTATGGGATTTTCAATGTTGCGTTTTTTGTTGGCGACTGACCCAGTTGCCCGAAATTTAGCTACAAGTTCTAGAACATACCTGTATTTTCGATGCACGTTACTGTTCTCATTTCGCTCATTAAATATTTCTGCTGTTCTATTAGCGCACTGATTATTTCCGAAAAATATTTCGATAATTTCAACTCTTTCTGCTGTGGAATATACCATGGTTAATTTATGTAATAAAGCGTTACAAGTTATTTTAGCAACAAAGTTTGGTCAAATCAATCGCAAACTATGTACTAAATTCCTATTTAAAATAAGTACGAGATATTTCCTTATCTTTCTTCAAAAAAACGTTCCAATAGCTATTTTCAACAACAAAATGATAAACAAACCATGGGCGTAGTGAAGAAAAGCATTAACAAAATAAGAAAATTCTTCTAGTCAAATTTCTGAAAGTAGTACAAACTAATCTGATGTCGACTTTAAGCTTTAAATCAATAAATCTTCAAAACTACTGAACTGAAGTACATTAATTTTTTATCATTATAAAGGGAATTGAAAGACCTTTAAAATAAGGTATCACTCGACCCCCCTTTCCATTTAAGATTTTAGGGTTGGTGTCACCCCCGCCCAGGGGGTTGCAAGTGTTAACGTGATTTTTTGCCAAACTTGTGCCCCCATCCCCCATCCAGTACAACTCGACTGCTATCAGGAAACTGAAGTCGCCTTGTTCGGTTTTTGGACTGGCTAAGGTTAGTAGAACTCAGACAAATTGTTTCATAATGTCGGCACCCTTGGAACAATAGAGCTACTGTATCGCCAGTTCTGGATGTATTAAGTTTGTTATGGTTAGCATGTGAGCCAGACGCCTGACGGATCCATCTGACAGGCTCAACGCGCGGTGGCATTGTGGAGGACAGATCTCAAGACTCAAAAAGGTCTCGAAACTGTCCTTTAGAGAAGTGCAATCGATAAGTCGGACAATGTAGTCGAGGTGGCAACACCTCTAACATGTGAGCAGTACTCGAGGCTGGGTCTTCTCTGGACCTTATACAAAGTGAACAGGTTATGTGGATAAGAGTGCTTCTTAGCTATAAACTTAGATTACCCCTTGCAGTTATTGCGATTGAGGAGTGTTTGTGCCCAATCAAGTTCTTGATCTGGACCACGACTTACCGGAGCCAATAGCTCTTTGACAGAGCTTGCTTATTCATCCCAACCGAACAGGATTGTCTTGGAAGCATTACACTTCCAAATTTCTCGATCGGATTAGTCGCTCTTTACCAAAGAGAGAGTGAGG